CTTTCACCTCTGAACTTGTTTCCTCCAACAAACCAGATGAGCTTTTTACAGTCATATGATTTATTTTCATTATAAATGATACAAATTCTTTATAACAAGTTTATAAAAAACAAAAGATTAGTGCTGAAAACAAAACACTGGAGTTCACTGACTCAGACAGTAGGTGGCGCTCTGAGCTCATTTCAGCTCCGTCCTCACACAGGTCCGGGAAATGATGACGACCGACCGAGCAGGGGTCATGATGTTTCAGTTACCATGACGACCCTTTTAGTAAGAAGCATTGTTAGTCAAAGTCAGACTGGGCGGGGCCTGAGGTGACTGACAGCTGGCTGTTGTAAATAAAAACAAATTAAAACAATAAATAAAGGAGAAGTTAAAGTAAAAGAAACAGGAAAGAGTTTTAGGATGGAAGACGTCTGATGCTAAGGGGCGGGGCTTAGTGGCTTTTCTTTACATTCCGTGTATAATAAAAAACAAAAGCTGGTGTAAAAAATAAACATTTTGAAACGTCGCAGTTCGTTCAGATCCGCGACTTTTGTTCATTGAAGCGTTTTTTTTCTCCACTGTACTGCTTCCATCTGGTTTTGCTTTTCTTTAGTGTTTGTTTACGACTCGTCGCCCGTTTCTTAGCACCTGTGCACTAAGACCCCTTGTGTGACATCACTTCCCGAACAGCAAGTAAGACTCAGGCCCCGCCCACTCCGCTGCTGAGGGCGTGGCCACCTCCTCCTCCACTCATTTCTTCTTGATGGCAGCGAGATCCCTCTGCAGTTCGGAGAACTTGGGCCGCTCCTCTGGGTTGTACTGCCAGCAGCGCTGCATCACTTTGTACACCTCGTCAGGGCAGCGCTGAGGACACGACATCCTGTAGCCTAGCAACCATAAAGCACATAGTTAGCTTCTCATCGTACAAACGACTTCTAAACTCCAGTGCCTCGGTTGTACCTTTCTCCACCTGCTCCCGAGCCTGCTGATTGGTCATTCCCGGATAGGGACACACCCCCAGGCTGAAGGTCTCCCACAGCAGGATCCCATAACTCCATACGTCACTTTCTGAGCTGTAGCGGCCTGCGGCGGCCAATCAGAGAGGAGACGCAGTCAGCATATCTACTGATCTCTGAGTGAATTTTATTCCATAGTTGTTGGAAACAAACATGTTTTATAAATAGAAATAAATGCATTCCAGGAATTTAAAAACGTTTGAATAAAAATTTTGTTTCGTCAAATTATTTTTTCCTTTAGATTTGGTCGCAGAATTTTTTGTTTCTATTTTTTTTTATTTTTATATAGTTTCCATTTTATTTTTGATTTTATTTTCATATTTTAGATTTTTAAATAAAAAAAATTATACAGGATTTTTACATAAAATGTTTTTTGTTAAATTAATTTCTTCACTTCTTTTTTTTTAGACAGATTTTTAGAAATGTCATGGATTAAGCGTTCGAAGTGAAGAGAACGTGAAACGCAATTAGAAGAAAATGCAATTTGTAAAACTCAATCTAAAAAAAGAGAAATTTTAAAAAATGAATTGAAAACTAAAAATCTGTAACAATAAAATTAGATTTCCAGTCAGCCTCTGTAATCAGGAAATTCATAAAA